TCGGGCCAAGGGACGTCCCACCTGTGCGCAATCCGGCGCATGCTCCCATATCCGATGATGAGGATGATGCAAGCGCTGAGGCGACTAGCTCCGTGAACACCGGGCGAGTCTCGGCGGTCATGAACCGGAGATTCCCGCGCCAGCAGCGGAAAACCCGCCGCCTGCACCACGTCCTCAAGGGGAATCGATGCACCCTGATGGCCCAACGTTGAGGGTTTCGGGACGATCATAGGGGCACCAAATTGAGCGATCCGAAGCTTGGTGACTGCACGATCAGGGGACTGATTTTGCTCGCTAACGATACGAGCATGGCTCCAATCCTGCATCAGTCGGCGGCGGAGCTGTTATTCAAATTCAACGCAGATCCCCGCCATCTTAAGAACATGGAAAGTGCTGGGATTGAACCGCTGGATGGAGGATGCTAGGCCTGCACCTAGGCCCGAGCGAGAGCAACCAGTGTGAAGACAGCCACCACGGGCCGCCTCTCCTGCCTCGGTGAGGTTAATGTTGACATCGGGTCTGATGGTGAAGCGATGGTCAGACATCATTTCCGTCGCTTTCCTCAGCATGCCTTGTCTTTGCCGAAGCTGAGAAGACCCACAGGGGTGCAACGGCTGGCCATGGTATCTGCCTCGTGTGTCTCTCCTGTTCCACTGACACTCGACGCTGCCGAGCCGCCGCTCTGAGCGCGTCGATCAAAAGCGAAAAAACCGATTTACGATGAAATCAGATCTGTCCGGTGCATCGCGATTACATGCATCGCTACAGTTCTGTAACCTACACATGCTGCGAATGTACAGCGTAAAGCATAGGCATAGGCACGATCAAGCGCCAATAATCGACCCATGCCTAATGGTCTTTTTGCTTTAAGCTTTGAAAGTTTCCGGAAGAGGTATGGGCCGATGTACGACCAGAACCGCGTGACACTTTTATACTCCGCTTCTCTCACGCGTGAGCTCACCTCGAAGGGGGTGTGATTTGTCGTCGACTCGCACACACGCACACCTTGGTTGCTTGTTAGGTTCTTGCCATCTTTGTTGCACTCGCAGCTTGACTGCTCAAGACCCACGTTGCGCGAGGTCCCAGCAAAAAACCCGGTTGTACTTAGGATAGTACTTGCGCTTCCTCTCTTCTGTGCAGTTAACCTAACGGTGATAAACTCTGATCCGATCTCTGCCTTGCATTGCCCTGCCTTTGCTTTGCTGGCTGGGTATACGATTGGAGGCGCCCTGCTTTGTGAAGAGTTAAGTGGATTCCCTGCTTTTCGCAAATGCTTTTACCTCAAAAGCGGTCCCGATGCGAAAAAATGGCCGGATGGCCATCACAGAATGGAAAAATTCTATGCAAGAGCCCAACTTTTCAGCAGACATATGCTCAACTGAATAGTTTGCTTGGGCGTTGAAAACCGGCTGTGATTGTGGCGATAGAAATCTTAGGATTGTGTCTTGGCAATCCCAGCATGTGCACGGTTTGCAAGCTTGACGCTGTGATGTCAAGCTCCTGTCCGGAGTCGTTGCCTGCAAAAACCAGTCGGGCGAATGAAATGCAACGTTTCACGGTGGCTGGAAGACACCTGCGAATGGATCTGCCGGAAACCTAAGCCTGAAAGCCTCGACGTTCTTGGTGTCTCGTTTTTCGCCCGAGGGTAGAAAGGGAAGTAAGGAATTCAGAGGTTCCTTCCATGTTTCTTCTGAAGTTTTTCAGCTCTCTTGGAGGTCTCCAACCTGGCCTTTGCAGACAGCGATGCTGACTTGCTGCAGATCGGCGGCTTGCTGCCCAGTCAGAAAAGCAGAGGTTCAGACGAAGCTTGCGGCCAGTAAGCTTAGAACTTGGATTCTTACATCCCATGGACGTCTCGGCCTGGCCAAATCCAGATCACCAAACAGCGCATCTTAATCCTAGCCCCGGAACTGAGACAAGCTTGCCTCATGCTTTCCTTTTTGACCCCTCCGAATGTACCGTCCTTTGCAAAAGCCCTCGCATTCGACAGGTCGTGTAACGTGGACGCCGCCTGCTGACTCCTCACAGGTGACCGGCTATCGTTGGCCTCTCAGATCTCGGCAGAGGGTTCCAAAATTTGCGCACATTAAGCTGGGAAGTCGCCACTGTAGGAATCTGCAAGAAGCAAGGACTGGCTAGACTTCTGCAGATGCACGCCTCTAGGACGTAACTAGTGTGTAGGGTACACCGGACCCGTCCGTTTCACCCCGACAGCAAGGCCTCGACACATTATTCCTAGCTCCGGAACCTGTTGAAAAACCCTGCTAGCCCCAAGCCCTCAAAAAGACGATGGATCTCACAGCAAGAGGCCTCTACCTTTGCGAGGGCGCCAGCTGCAGCTCAAGAGCGCAGCTGGGGAGCCAGGTCGCCGTTGGTACCAACCAGGCAAAGACATTGGTTCCGGCTCAGTTGTGGTTTGATGATGCGTTGAGGCTGCGTACGACGGTGATGACGGTTGTTGAGACTTCCAATGTCACAACAACAACAGTGTTTTGAGGAACACCCGCCAACAGGGTCTTCGGAACGGCTAGCATCGCTGTTGAAAGGTTGGCCCCAAATCTGAACGTAAATCTCACTTAAGACTCTGACCCAGTCACACCTGTTGCAAAAAGTAACTAGGCCCAAGCTTTGAAACGTTTCTAAAGTTAGCCTGGCGAATGGCAAGACTCGTCACTGACGGGAAGGACTGCAAACACTGCGTCTGCTGCAGGTGTCTTTCGCGGAGGTTGATGTCCTTGAAACGCAGACGCACATAGGAGCTTACACCAAGTGGGGTGGCCAAGACAAGATGGAGTCTCCGAAGGAAGCGGGTCTTTGTGATGTTCAGGGCTCCCGCTAGTGAGCGCTTGCGAAGTCTTTCCTTTGCCAGACACAAGGAACTTCCACATTGAAGTTCGGAATAGAAGGGCCCCCAAAGCAGAAGCACGCATCTTGTCAGGTTTCAAAGAGAGCGACTCCATGCCTCAGGTCGAGCTTGGCAGAGCAGTCGACGCCTGTCAGCATCGTTCTCTTCGACTCCTACATTTCGGCCGGCCGCCCAGATTGTACCAACGCCCTTTGCCGTGAAGCGGACAGCAGAGGCTGGGAACATTTCCTTTACTGACGTTGACGTTGACGAGGGCCAGGCTCTCCGGAATTAGCCTTCGGCTCGGCTCGGCATTGCAGCATATTGCAGCTGTGGCGTGGCAGATTGGGGGCAACCTGAGCTGGGCAGAGCCGGCCGACATCTCCCAGGTGCTGAGAACAGCCTGGGGTGGTACAAGGTGTGGTTCAGGATGCCGATGTTGCAGGGATGTTGAGGGGTTAGTCTCGCAGAAGAAAGGGAGGTTGCACCCGTGTGTCAGTCTTCGCTCTTCTGCCTCCTCGAGCCAACGTTTCAATGCGCACGCCGTGTTGCTGCAAGAAATTCCCGGGCGCTAGATCAACTTAGAATATAATTGCATGTTCGAGGGATGTGGCATCCCGGCTAGCTGCTCGGCTAAACTGCGCAGAGAGCATCTATTGGAAGCTCTGTCTGATTGTCTCCTGACCCCCTAGTCCCTGGACCTCCCTGATGGCCCTGATGCTGGACCCTGGCTGGGCAAAATCTGGGCCGTTCTTGGAGCTCCAGAGTTCCCAAACGGGTTCTCTGCCATTCGTTCTATTCTATGTCGCAGGCACTTTGGCATTGAGGATTTGTTGTTTGGGGTTCAGCTGATCTACTTCTTGTGCGAAGGTAAGAAGCTGAAGTGTCGTTGAAACCTTTCTGCTGCTCGCCTGTCAGCAACTGCTCCATTTCGGGACGCTGTATTTGCGCGAGCTGCTGTCTTTTTGAGGTTTGCTGTATATCAGCGGCCATCAGGTCACCGGCTACAGGATCTACCTCGGCACAGGGGCCGATTCCCTCAGATCTCGTGTGGCTTGGAACGTGGAGGGGTCTCAAGGCGGCGTGATGGGTCGATCTTCTGTGCTCTTCGAAACTGATGCAGCTTGTCGGAGCGGGGAAGCCTCAGACATGCCGGGGAGCTGAGGCCTCCGTGAAGATTTCCCACCTGGGCGATGTCACCGGTGCCAGCAACACGGAGCCCCGACGCAGATCATGTGTCTCATGTCTTGTCTTTGGGGTTCCAGGATCCTTGGAAATCCTGGGATTCACGTTCAAGTATAAATGTCGTACTACAGTCATCAAGCCTAGGGCTTGGGACTTACGGCAGGCAGTATGCCTAAATGTCCAAATCCAGTCAGCTCTTGGACAACTTCAAAGTCTGTTTGCTATAGCAGTGAAAACCTGCGGCCGGAACAGCCACAAAGCCTCCCTCCAACGCAGACATCTGTACGGATGGAAAGGACGCGCAAAGAGCACATCCCAAACTCCAAACTCGGCAAAAATCAAAAAATATCAAGAACCCTCCCCTCTTTGAGTACCCGATGCACTCGGCGCTCCAGGACTTCGAGATACCCCTTGACACAGACAGCAACGGAACGAGCGACCTCTTGGCCGGATGCTCACACTGCTGGACTGCTGGACAGCCGGTCCCGGGAGCCTCATTCATAAGACGCCGGAGATTTGTGGAAGGCCTTGAAGATCCTTGACGGTTGTATCAGATCTGACAAGAGCTCAAGGCTGTAAGGCCTGGACGGGTCTCCGAGTGCTGCAGCGGCGAGAGCTTTGAAACCTGCATACGGCTCTGGACCCGCAGCCCTAGGCCATCCTAAGCCTCAGGGCCAAGGGCTCACAGGGCGAGTGGAGGCGAGCACTTTCAGCGCTTGAGGTCTGCCTGCTGTCGGACGGTGTGGAACAGTGGGGCACCCGGGCACAACTCCCGAGAGTCCTGGTCCCACAAGCTCTCGCCGCTTTTTGGCCTTATCGCCTGCTCTCTGCTGGCCTCGGCACAGGTCTGTCTGCGACGCTTACATCTTCAGGGACACCACTGAAAGCGTGTCCGGCATCACTTTCCAGGGCAAGGACCTGCAACAGCTTAGAATGCCCTGACCAAGTCTTAGGCTAAAAACATCTGCAGGACCTGGATCTCAATGAGCTGGGTGGAACGGTTTCCTGGACTCCGCCTTTAGTCCTCGTTGGGCGCTTGAGGACGTCCTTCAGAGTGGAAAAGGCGGCTTCTCCTCCTGCAGTCTGAGCCCAGGTCTACACGCAGCAGTATGTGGTGTACCTAGCAGAAGACTCTTCGGGCACAGCTCGCTCACAGGCACCTGGGGGACATGAAATGCTTTGTACCAGTTCTGCTACAGCCAGCCGAAGTCCGCTGAAATGAGACCTGACACCAATCCGATCGGTGGAGGTGGAGTCTCCGGTTGCAGTCGGCCAGCCTCCCGGCCAGTGGTGTCGAGATTGCAAGCGTCATCGGCTGTGAAAGCATCAGGGAGCTTAAGCTCAAGAGGCACCGAGCACCTGTGTTTGCATTGGGCGGGCCGAGGCACAAACGAGCTCTTGGTGCCTGCTGACACGCCCCGGCTGAACTTCACCCACTTTGCAGTCTACACGCAGACGGCCTTCCAGGACGGTCTCCGTCCTCGTTCTGCAGCCTCTCAAAGTCAGAGCCGAGCCAGGAGCAGACAACCCCAGGCAGCTTAGCCTTCGACGATGCGGTTGCGGTGGTTGGGACCTCAGAGCATCTACGAAGCATCTCAGTGCACCAGCCGACGGAGCCACAGAGAGGCATACATGGATGCATACCTCGCAGCATGCATGTCTTACATAGCAACGGGTCGCTCGGATCGTTCCAGATGACAGCATATGACAGCGAAATGTCGAAACACATTTGGCCTCAAGTACAATGAAGCCACATGCTACGTTGGAGCAGTTGCAAAAGAGTCCACGGCTTGCTCCATGATTGAAGCATACAACATGCTCAAGCCGTAATCCAATCAGCAAGCCAAGTCCCGAAGTTTGTCAGCTGAATGCCGCAAACGCCCACCAGGAGATGCGATAGGTCTGTCAAGGCTAGCAGGGACTAAAGACCATGCGGTTCAACATGTAAAACACTGAAATCACAAGGCAGGAAGAAACGGTTACTTCTTATCAGTATTCCTTGTGGAATGGTGTGATGCAGGCCCGCAATGTGGGCTTCACGGACGACGACCTAGACCAAGGCGCCATCGGCAAGGGCCCCAGGTGTTTAGCTTGTCGGGTTCTGTCAGATGGGCGGTCATTTTCGATTAGGCATGGCGGCATGGCTCATTTACAAGACTCAAGAAGCAGATGCCCCTGCTTCACCCTCTCCATCCGCATGCCCAATCCCTGACCCTTGCCCTCTAACCCCGGTGTATGGGTCTAGCTGTTTTTTTGTCCTCTCTCTCTCTATGGCTTTCTCGCTCTACTACTCTCTCTTTTTACATACATGCGGAGCGAGAGAGCGAGCGAGAGAGAGAGAGAGAGAGAGCGAGAGAGAGAGAGAGAGAGAGAGAGAGAGAGAAAGTGTAGGGGGAAACCCCTGCACCACAGCCCTGGCGAAAGAAAAGAGAGAGAGCGAGAGAGCGAGAGAGAGAGAGCTCATGCCCTGGAGAGAGAAAGAGAGAGACAGAGAAAGACAGAGAGAGAGAGAGAGAGGGAGAACCCCCTTGTCCATAGCCCTGGCGACAGACAGGGAGAACCCTGAGCAAAGCAAAGCAAAGAGAGAGAAAGAGAGAGATCCATTTTGGCTCAGGCCGTGAGCGGTTCAAGCCCGTGGGGGGCCCTCTGTGAGCCCATTCTCCTTCTCCGCCTTCTGCACCCCTCACGGGACAACCGATCCTTGCTTTTCTCTCCGCCTCTTTCCCTTTCTTCTGCCGCATTGTTGAAGGGGGAGGACACTATCTTTGCGCTCTTCACCTAGGAGGCCCACTCCGGCGACCTAGGTGTCTACGGAGCTGTTCGGTGACCGCGGCTGTCTTGTCCTTTCGGGAGTCCCTGACCTGCTACCTGAAGGATTTCGCCGACATTTTGTGGGGACAACCCATACGCCTTGTTTCGGGAGTATTTCCCCGCTGGGTGAGGGAGTTTGTGTACTTCGAGATCGTGATAGTGGTAAGGCCGACAGCCTCGTGAACTCCGCACTATGGCAGAGCAGACGGGGGACAACCCGGTAAACCCGGTGTGCCTCAGATGCAAAAAAGGCGCATCGTTCCACGGGGGACATACCCGCTCCGACCCTCGATGTGCCCTGCACGGATGCCTCAGTGAAGATGCCCGACACCTCGGCTTACTCCTGCTCCAGTGGAGTCGACTGGCCTGTGCTGGAAGTCCCGCTAAAGCCCACAGGCTACTCCTCGAACAGGGAATCGCACTGGCACGTGAAGCCCGGACCGCTGCAGCCATGAGCTCTTCTACCTCGACGCTCCCCCCCCACTAAGGCCAAGAAGCAATGCAACCGCCGACGAGGAGATCGCCAGCCACAGGAGGAAACCCCTACCAACCCGGAAGCCGCTTCAACAACTCTTTGGGATGACGAGTCGGCTAACCAGAGCTTCCTCGCCAAGGAGAACACCGGTGCGTGCAATGGCCAGTCCGCTGGCGGCTCTGATGCCGCCCCCGTTGACTTCACCAAGGGGGGCTTCCTCTGCGCCTTCTTCGAGTTCCGGACCAATTTCGAGACCAACTCCGCCGAGTACCCATTCAACCAGAGGGGAAGCCCCGAGCAGCCTGAGTGAGTTTTGCCAACTCCGATTAGACCCAGAACTCCAGGTGTGTTGAAGGGACTTACACCTTTGCAAGCCAGAGCTGCTCTCGCCGTTCCAGTCCATGATGCATCTACGCATGATCGGGGGACAACTCCGGGCACCGTCACAGACCAGCTCCCTGAACTTTGCCAACCGATCGGGGACAGGAGATACCCATGACAACTCCGACGTGGTCCACAACCCCCAGGCGGTTGAGGCTGACGCCCGGATTAAGGGAGCGGCTCTGCTTGAGCCACTGCCACCAGGATGGACAGTTGAAGGCCTGCATAGGGGACTTCACCCCGACAGCGACGTCTTCGAAGACGACCTTGGCACGAACGCGCCAAAGAACGAGGAGGAGACGGGGGAGTGCCCCGACAATAGCCCCAACCAGTGCGATGATGACGGAAAAATCGCTTTGGGAGCAGCGCCTTCATCCCCGTTGGGACCACCACCGCAGCTGCGCTCCCAACAAAAAGCTCGGCTACATGAACTACTACGACAGCGAGACGAACATGGCCGAGCTCCTTTTGGTCCTCAAAAGTTCACCACAGACACCGATATGTGGGCCGCCTATGGTCGTACTCAGAAGGCTTCCTACCTAGAACATCGAAAACGGGAACGCGTTGCGGGCACATGGACCAAAGACCAACAAAGACGGGACCCAGCCTCAAGGGGCAGAGAACGCTCACCACTTTCACGACGCCGACAACGAGAACGGGTGAGAGAAGCTGCTTTTTTCTTTCATGTCAATGGGGGCAACCCCTGGACAATACCTGATGTGATCCTAGTAATTACTCGTGCAGAAGGTGAAGCCCCGGTACTGGGCTCGAGTAGTCAGGCAACTTCTTCAATGTCACAAGGCGAAGTGGCATGCATGTGTAACGCACTCAGATCCACTGGACGTTTTTCCGCAGTTCCCTTCCTTTCTCGTATGGGGGTCAAACCCCTTGGAAGTATTCTTCCCGACTTCTTTTGATGGGCCGCCGGAGCCTCCATGACCTTTCACCTGCCGTGCCCCCGCTCGGGGCGTCAGAGCATTCATGCTCCTTGTTTGTAACTCGAGGCCACAAGCCATGTACTTTTGACAGTTTCTTTTCCTGGTAGGCCCAGGAAAGATCTCGATCTTGTACTTTACGCTGCTGTCCTTTGTTTCTCGCTTTTCGAACCCTGTCTCCCTCGATGTGGCGCCAGCGCGCAGGAAGATAGGCAGAATTTGCCTTGGTTTCGTGCGCATATTTCCCAAACTGCCGTGGGGAGGCAACTCCCCACCACAGCCCTGACGAAAGAAAGAGAGAGAGAGAGAGAGAGACCCGATTGTGTGTTGTATATGATCATAGTTGGTTCTTATTAGACCTCGACGCTTAGGGTGTCGTGCTATCTCCCATGAGCTGAGGTCTGTAACTACACCTCTCCAAGCCCCAGTTGCAGCACCACGGAGTGTAAAAATACATCGTGGAGGAACGACAGGTGGTACCGTCACCGGGGTTGCCCCCGCCAGCCACGAGAGGTCTTGTGTGTTCGCTCCGGCACGAACAGTGCTCCGCATAGGTTCGGTGTTGATTGTGGCGCTCCATTGAGGGGCTCTGTGTGGGCTTCCAAATCTGAAAGCCTTCCGGGGTGCTCCGTACCGACCACTTCCCCTGTCGGTTCCGACCCATGGGTCTCGGTGGTGGCTGGTAGAAGAGGAGGTCCCCCTGGTCCACGTTGACTATGGCGGGCTGTATGGGGGTCTCGGACCGATTACTTGTCCACACCATCACCTCCACCTCCACCACCACCACCACCGCCACCACCACCACCACCACCTCCACCGCCTCCTCCACCACCGCCACCTCCACCACCTCACCTCCTCCACAACCACCTCCACCACCTCCTCGCCAGAGCTGACCAGAGTCGAGCAGCTATTGTCACAATGCCAGTTGATGCTGAGAAGCTGGGGAAAAGGCCCCAATGCGCCGGGAGCACAAGAGGGCCTGGCTGGACAAAGCCTCTCCTTTGGCCACCTTGCCATCGAGGAAGGAGGCGTGGCGCAAATCCATGAGGCCCTTCAAGCAGTGCACTACGCGGTTGCAAGATCCAACGGCTATGTGGACCAGCTCTTGGCGTGGATCCAGCAGGAGTTTGGGAGCGGTCCAAGTACAGGGGGGAGCCCTTCAGGACCGAGCAGAGCACGCAACCGCCACAATACATGCAGACCGCGCGCAGCGCTGCCGGGCGGGGACGCGACACCCCTGCAAATCCTGAAAGCCCAAAAGCTGCTTGAGACTGTCCTCCCCTTCCTCGAGAACGATGTCGCAGCAGTGACTCAGCAAACGCATAGCTTGCTACTTCAATGGACTACAGCTCTTTGGGGTGAGCCGATCACCCTCACGGTGGACGACACGGCCCCCGCTGATGAGGGGCAACCCTCACCAACAGCAAACTCTGCGGCGAGTACAGTTCTGCTACCAGCGCAAGATGATCGTCCTGCCCCTGCTCTACAAACACCTGTGATGACGCCCGGGCTGCATTGCCCGATCATGCCGAATACAGTCCACTACGAGCCAGACATGCAACGCCCGGAGTACCAAAACCCGACGCTGCCTGCCACCGCGGACTATGAGCCGGCCGTGAACAGTGCTACATCCCACAGACGCAGACGACTTCATGCAGCTATACTATCGGACGTGGGAGACGATGACTCCTCCGCCGGCGAATGCATGTGAACGACAGCTAGCTGCCGCCGATTCAGCCGTGAGCTCTGCTTCGGAAAAGTACTGAGGGGACACTTTTCTCTGTATCTAGCAGCTGTAGTCAGGGAAGGACCTCCTCAGTTACATCTACTGATTGAGTCCTGTAGTGCTTGCGTTCGCTTGGGGGGCTTCCTCCGGTTCCCTTACTGGCCTCAGGTCCTTTCCGCCTCAGATTTCGTAGTCACACAAGGGGGTGCACCCCAACCGCCCAGGAAAGCTCGAGATGACCCATGTAGTGTCGTTCAGTGTCGTGTTTACATGCTTCACTTTGCGTCCTGTAGGCCCACCCAGAAAGCTTTCCACGGAAACAGCCGCAGCAGGGGAACAACCCCTCCTCCTTTCTGTTCAGGTTTGCTTGTCTTCGGAAGGTCCCCTCGGTTTTGGTTGGGGATCTGTTTGGGTCATCTT